GCCTCTGATCATCTGCCCACTCAGTCGAGGCTCCTTCCTACCCCAACATTTCATGTATGATCAGTTTTAAAACACAGTATGCAATTTGACAACGGGAAAACGACCATATTCCTAAGGCAGCACATTTCCCTGCTCTGATGAAGTCCCCTGGGAGTCCTTCCTCCACAGTGCTGTGGCTGTCAGTACAGCCTTTCAGTTTCACAACAAATGGTAGATTAAAGGTTGGTGGACAAGCTAGGTTCTTTGTAGTTTCTTGATTTTCTTATCCTGATCATTAATCTATTTACTCACCAGTCACTTGATTTCCTAATCTTAAGTATGGTTTCTTCATGTTACAAATTTACATAGTAACTTTGACCCTTTACCTCAGTAGCTAACATCTCCAAGGAAGAGATTTTCCCCCTAACTTCCTGTCATGAATATGGTCTACCTTACTATTTTTTTCACACCCCTTTCGGCATACTGAACTCTCCTCCAATTTTTCTCTGCCCTACTCATGATATGAAAGTCTCAATGTTGATCAGGTCTAAGAGGAAAACCTGCCTACTCCTGCCACCTGAAGTCTTGTCCGCAGTCTTTGGAGGAAAGCCTATGACATCATCATCTAAAAGATGACTTTTTCAAATTCCTCATGCTGTATTGTTTTATTATCACATACCCATAATTCCTATGGTTATAACCATCCTACTCATTTGCTTAAGGCTGGAAGTTTTCTTCTTTATTGTCCATCTAGTTACATCTTCTATTCTGCCTATACTGTGAGTTTTCTTTGCTTTGTTCTTTTGCTTTTTGAGATAGTCTCGTTAACTTACCTAGGATGGCCTGGAACTCATAATCCTCCTGCTCTGGCTCTCCAAACGCTGATAATAGACATGTCATCATGCCCATTGCATTGTTGACATACTAAGAAGTCATATTCTTTGCTTCCACCAAGGAACTGGGACATATGCATCTTCCTATCTGGCTAGTGTCAAGGTGAGCTCAGTATCTAGCTATCCTAAAGAATTTGGAGATGCATTGACCTAAGTAGCAGTAGCTTTCCTCCTGGAAGAATGGCACCACAGGGCAAGTCTGCACTGCTCTCCTACTTCACATCTGTGATGAGTCTCATGCATCACCAACACACACAACCGAGGTCCCACTACCTCTGCCCCACCTCCTAATGACTCTCCCTTCATCCCTTCCTATGTGGCTTAGCATACATAGGACTCAAAGGAGCCAGCCACACCCTTCTGACTTCTCCTTTCTGACAGTATCAAAGATAGCAATGGGTGGAGAAGGTTGGCACTTATGTATTTCATCCCACTCCTGTTACTTCCAGGATTCTTATTTTTTATTTTAAAATGTATTAATTTTCAACTTTTTTTTTTTTGCTGGGGTGTCACCAAAGGACAACTTGCAGGAGTCAGTTCTCTTCTTCCAACATGGGGGCCATCAGACTAAGTGTGGGCTATGTGCTGGATGCACCTCTATAACAGCCTTTTCTCCAGGCCCAGGTATCCTCAGGATCAGGATGTTACTATCTGGTATTTTGTATCCTCCACTTGGCATACCCATTACTGGCATGTGGGGGGTGGGGGGGCCACGCACGCGTGCGCGCACACACATACACACACACACACACACACACACACACACACACACACACACACACACTGCTTTACCTCATGTACTATAGAAAAAGTTCTGGAATCTACTGTGTTGGTGAGCATGTTGCTTTTCTGGAGTGGCCCTTCTTACTTTAGGCACTGTGTATCTACGATGCTTGAACTGATAGCTCATGTCCATAAGGGAACAAAGGGCAAAAGAGAATTCACAAGAATGGTTCCTTCAGGTCAGTGCACTGCCCAGCCTGGAGATGCCAAGCATGATGGAGCTAGGCAGCAAGTCTTCATCTGGCTCAGAGCTGGCCGTATCCATAATAAGGCTAGCTGGAGAGAAAGGGTCGTCTCCAGTCTTCCATCATCAGACTTTGGTTGTCACTGAAGTAGGAGGAACTTACAAGGAGGAAGCATTAGCACATCAAGGCAGCTGCCAATGAAAGGCCCTGAACTGGGTAAGAGGGGAAGGATAGAAGGGTCCCTGAACACACCCCAACAGGAGAAAAAGTGAGCTAAGCCTTAGCCAAGCCCAGGGGGGTGAGGCCGGCTTAGGGCAGTACTAGTCAAAATTAAGATCTTGACTATCTCTTGCCAGGGCTGTCAACAGTGAGTTATAGCACTTTCTTATTGTCATCATTTTCTTCTTGTTTTCTGTTAGTGACAGAGCACTGCTCTCTTAGGAAATGTCTTCAGAGGACTGCAATACTTGTTAGTCCCTTCACTAAGCGAGACCTCCATTTCCCACTTCCATTACCCTTTTTCTGTGACAGTCCCATACAAGTTCTTGCTATCCCAGCAGCTAGAATGGTCAGTACAGATGAAACATGTTCAAGGCACAGCAGCTACTCCTCAGCAAACACGTGACAGGGACTACTGATGGAGGCCTGTTCTGCAGGGCATCTTTCTCCACATCTGTGGCATGCAGACAGCCCGGAGTCCATACCACCACCTGAGACAGACTGTGCATGGTCAAGATAAAGATTCAGGGAGAGTCAGTAACTCACCTAAGTCAAGCTCATCTTGCTTAGGGTAGGCAGTGGAACTGTTGTTCAGCCCAGATCCATGACTAAAACTGCATACCTTCAGGCACTGTGTTGATCACTTCCTATCTTCTAACTTCAGTACCGCCCAGTAACACACATCAAATCTTAATCCTCTGTCCACAAAGGCAGTGAGATATCAGTGTTGAATTCAGCACAGGACAGGCATTCAACTGAATGCTAGGAAGTTAAAGCACAGGTTCCAGTCTGCCACAGTCCTTAAAAGCAGACATTTAACCACAGCAACAGAGCAGGCTTCTGAATTTTCTAAGTTTATTTTTAGTTGTTTTCACAATCCTTGGCATCTGATTGTATTAAAGGGATCAAAAGCAAACATCCAGATGAAGCTCGGCCTCAAACAGTGAAGACAAGAGACACGACAAATTACAGGAAACTTTCACCCCATGAGCCAGGCATCTGAGATGAGTTCGCAAGGAGGAAGCAAGAGCCCAAACTGCCTGCTGCTTAGGGGACATGGTTTTCAGCACAGTGAATCTCTGACCAACATTGCCACGTCAGTGTGCTAAGAGCAGACTTTGCTAATCAAGGCAACAAGAGCACGGCAAGGTTCTTAAGTGAATGTCATAAAGTTCCCCAGGGAATTCCCCACACGCAGAATCTAAGGCTGGGCTACCAAACTCCTCAAGCTGTTAAAATGCAGGTAACAAAGCCTTTCATGGACAGAATGGACATGAAAGGGAGCTCATTACATGCGTCTATCTTGGCTACTCTGAAGTCACAGCATTACAGTGGCTGCTGCATTCTCATAAGCACTGCCATATTTTTAGCACCATTCATGTTGTTGCAGATCAAGGCAATTCTCAATAGATAAATGAAAATGAAAATTAATCACAAAATTTATTTTGAGGTTCAAAATTAAGGTTCAAGCACCCATGGTTACTAGAAAATGATGACCAAGACTGGATATGTTGAGCTTAATGTCCTTTTTTTGTACCAACTTGTGTGTCAATGACTTGGGAAAAAATCAGTAGAGGGCATAGAACTAGGACCTAAACCAGTTGAATCTGGTGCTTTTCATGGCTCATTGATATCTTCACTCACACATTCATTCAGCTGCTGCATGGCTAAGTATCAGATCTCCCATCCTCTGAAGAGATGAAATACGAGGTTCCCTAAAATAGTTAAGTGTTAAATATTTCATTTATTTTAAAATAAAGGACTTAAATTTGGGTGGGGGGGTCCAAGAATATATTTTCATTAGCTTTTTACATTCGTTCAGAGTTTTAATCTCTTTAATTTAAACATAGGTCTGTTGGGCATCTACTGCTTTTGTTTTTGTATAGTGTGGCAGTTAGTGTTAATGGCCAACTTAACGGAATCTAGGCTCCTTTGGGAGATGAACCTCTTGGGCATGCCTGCAGATGATCTGGACTGCCTTCACTGGGGTGAGCATCCAATCACAGGCTGGAATCCTGAACGGTATAAATGGAGAAAGGAGCGAGGCAGCAGCGTGCATGCTTTGCGTTCCTACCTGTAGATGTCATGTGACTAGCTGTCTCATGGTCCTGCCACCTGACTTGCCTGCCATGAACAGTGAGCTAAAACAGAAACCTTTATACCCTTAAGGTGCTTTTGTTAGAGCTTTTCATTTACAGCAACAGGAAAAGAAACTAAGACAGTGTATGCTAAAGCTAGTTCATCCTTCAGCTCACCTCGAACAGTTCCCTTAGGCCTTCTTAAAACTGTAAATTGACATTGTGTTCTCTCTGCCTTTGACAAACTGGGCATCTGGCATTTCTTTCAGATGAAAAGCACACACTGAAGGCTATTTCTGCTGTGGTCCTTCCTTCCTCCTTTCCTTCCTTCCTTCCTTTCTCCCTTCCTTCCCTCCTTCCTTCCTTAAGAAACAACACATCTTAAAGCAATCTATTTTATGTATACCTACAAGCAAGATTCAATGGTTTATGCTCCTAAAAATATGTTCCTGCCTTCAAAGTAATGTTTAAGACAAAAAGAAGAGAAACTAATCAAACTAAATTTTACATCAAAAGAAGACACAGCAGGACGTGCATGCGAGTCCTGCACATGTATTCACCATTAGAGGTTTATGATGGGTGCCCCATCACCTCAAAAACATCTAGAACACCTTCAAAAACAAGACTCTTTCTTAGGTAAAGAGCATATATGGGTGAGTGGGAGGGGACAGGAAGAATAACACAGAGCCACTTCAAAAATCAAAAGAAAAAACTTTCAACACACAAAAGCTCACAAATGTAGCTGCTGTGGTGGCAATACTACAACCATAGCTCTCACGGGGTGAAAGATGGAGGATGGCTGTGTCTGCAAAGGTCGAAATCAATCAACTAAATTAACAACAAAACAAAGCAAAAACCACAGATGTTCTTCCAACACAAGTTTATCAATTCATGTGATAAGAGAGTTTACTTAGTCCTAAAACTGGAAGGAAAAAGAATATACAAAAAGCATGCAATGTCATTTTCCTTCAAGAAAAAGCTCATCAGACATGACTGAATATTTAAAGTGTCAGCAGCTAGGTAGGAAAACAGGATGAATCCATCTCTGTGCATATTTCCTTATGCATACAGGAGAAAATGCAACTATCTCAGACCAAACTCACATAGACCCAAATTCTAAGTTAGAGGCACTAATGCTGCCATTATGACAACATGCATGAATGACTCAGCCAACAGGTATTGCACATCCACAACCAGCGCAGGTAAGCGAGAAAAACTGAAAATCTTCTGAAAAAAAAAAATCAACATTAACTTCATGGGACATAATACAGGGAAACTGTATAACAATATCACAAACAGGAACAAGAAAGAAATGTTAAATATACAGAGGTTCCCAGAAGTCCAGTTCAAGTTACTAAGATGTCTTTAAAATGCAGAGAATGTGAGTATTGCCAAAAGCACCACTAAAATTCAATAGTGATGCAAGCCCAATGGACAGTTCAAGGTACCCAAAGGGCACAGATCACTCCTGCTGGGAATGATCTAAACATTTCAAGTTCTGCTTTCAAAACTGTTGAAACATGAATGGCAGGCATTTCCTATGATTTAATTACAAACAACAAAATAAAGTGTCCAAGTCAACAGTAAGCCACTATTATTATTTTAAGTTGGCTGCTAGGTGCCTCCTCACTCAAGGGTACCATAGCATTTCACAGTGAAAACTCAGAGCCATTGTCACACACATCCATAACAGCATTTGATGCCAGCAGTCTCACCAATAATCTGTTAAGAAAATATGGTGATTTTACTCATAAGGCAATGAAGAAATACCACATCAAGGGTCTGATTGGTTTGTATATCCTGAGTTTTCTTACGTCAGACAATTTTCAAAGACGTAATTTTTAATGAAATGACAATTTATATTTTAAAGGGTTGTCCTAACTCCCAAAACAAGTTGCTTATATGAAATTGGGTCAAATTAAGGGTTTTAATTATTATAAGTTCAATGCATCAGGATAATACCACCAACAAATGTTGAACTGATTTGGGTGCTACAGATGGAATCCTAAAGAGGGATATGTCTGGTCCCCATGAACAAAGATCATGAGCTATGGCCCTCGAGGGATGAAGGCCCAAGGTAACCCATGCTTAGCCCTCTTCCATTCACCCCTGCCCAAGTCAAGACCATGGCTCATGCCATGAAGATAGACCTATTGTTGCCAGCACAGCTGCCTCCTTCTAGCTGCCCAAGCAGCTCCAACTACTTTGCATTGCTTACCTTGTGCTTCTGCTTTGAGTAGTCTATCAGACATCCCAGATAGTTGTCTCTCATCCTGTCACAGGATAAGTTACATGGGTTTGGCGGTTCATAAGATCTTCAATAGCATGAAAGGAGCAAAGGAGGCCCAGCAACCAGTTCAGCCCCATGTCAACTTAGGTGACACTTTGGATTTTCACCTCTATAAAAAGGTGGAAACAAACTTGGTTCTGAGCTTATGATAATCTACAACCCCAACTCTAGCGCACATGTGCCAACAGGGTCTCTCAATGCAGGGCACCGAGGCTCAGAAATCAGTGTCTACACTCCTCCCTATATCTATTCCGAGCTTCAAAACATCTACTGTGGAACTCAATTTTTAATCTTCTAAGAGACAGTCTACTTAAAGTAGTATTAACTGGCATATAAATTCACTGCCCATCCCTCCAAAAGCAGATGAAGCTATCAAAAGATAATTAACTATCCATTCCAGGATATCACCACTTACGCATATCTCATAGGAAGACCACTAATGAGAGCCATCACCACCATCCCCCCCAAAAGAATAAAAATCAAAACCGAAACTACTGTCTTAAAAAGTAACACCAGTTTACCATCAGAACTTTCGTTAGACATATTCCTTTCCAAACAGTGTCCTCTGACACAAAAGCATCTGCCTTATGGAGACATAGTTTGTACCTTCCAAAGGTACATGCTGAAGCCCCCAGTGAAACACACTGTGTAACAGAACAATGAGTGAAGACTTGTCATTATCAACAGCTAGTCTTCAGAACATCACAATCCAGCTTGGCTCCAGCGGCCCAAGAGTTCTTCCAGGCTGTCCTTGGAGACCTGCAGACCTAAGGCTCCCAGGAGGAGGCGTTGCATGTGCACCTGTGCCACCTCACATGGCTATCCACATGTGTCTCTCACAGACTTGTCTCCTCACACACTCTGACAGGGATGTTATAGTGTCGATCATCCTCAGCTATGAGGGTCACCACTGGCCAGTCCTTGGGGGCATCAGTGGGATAGACTGTGAGGAACTCCTCAGTGTTGTACTTGGACAGCCGGTACACCTGGATTGTGTGGCGAACAGCATAGGCAAGAAGGAACATTTCAACCTGAGAAAGAAAAGCAAATGAGTGTTCTGAGGAGAGCCACAGGGAAAGATGGGGCCTAACACCATGCTGCATCCATTATCCCAGACAATGAGCAGCAGTGGCTTAGCTGCAACCTTCCTCCTTCCCTTTGAACCTACTCAAGGGAAGGGTAATAAAGAATTGAGTGCATATCCGGTAAGGGACTTATATAAAGAATGCTCCCACCGGGCGGTGGTGGAGCATGCCTTTAATCCCAGCACTCAGAAGGCAGAGGCAGACGAATCTCTGTGAGTTCGAGACCAGCCTGATCTACAAGAGCTAGTTCCAGACCAGTCTCCAAAAAAACCACAGAGAAAGCCTGTCTCGAAACCCCCCCAAAAAAGAATGCTCCCATATCAACGATTAATAAAACACCAGTTTAAAACTGAATAAAAAGGACTTGGAAGACAGTGCTCCAAAGATACATGAATAGTCAATAACCATGTTAAATCATAAGCCCGTAGAGAAAAGCAAACCAAAGCCATAATGATACAGTACTTCATACCCATGAGAATGTACATAATCAAAAAGACAGATGAGTGACTGCTCCATGAATATAGCGTTTGTGTTGGGTGTGATAAAAACATATGGGGACTGAAAATGTACTAACTGTCAATTAATCACAGACTTTATGTTCTCTGAACTTCATCTCAATTTTTAAAATGCAGTGAAAGCATAATGAAGACAAGGAAAAATGGACACTGATAAACTGCTGCTGGGGATGCAAAACGGTGCAGGTGCTTCTCTTTAGGGATAGTCAGGGCCTTGTGCATGCTATGCAAGTGTTCTGGCACTGAGCTACACTCTACATCTGTAGAGTAGCTTCTCAGAATGTCACAACATTACCATGTGTCCAAAACAATTCTGCTCTTGAACATATACCCAAGAGAAATACACACACACACACACGCACACGCACATGCACACGCACACACACACACACAGAGTCAATAAATATTCACAGCAATTAGAAAAAATACCTAAATACTCATCAAACTGATGAATGAGTAAAATATGATATTGCCATACAATGTCATATTATCTGGTAATAAAAAGGAATGAGGAACCAAAACATTCTAATAAACAATGGAACTTAAGACATGCTAAGTCAAAAGCCAGTCACAAAATTCACATGGTATATGATTTTCATTACTAAGAATGTCCAGAATAGGCAGATCTATAGTCAGAAAGACGATTATGACTACATAAGGTTGGAAGAAAGGAAGCCTGATGCTACTGGGCTTTGGGTTTCTTTATAGAGTTTCAACATGGTTGAAGATTAGACTATCCTGGCGATTATAATGCTTTAAAAGGAAGAACTAATGGTGCTTAAGTTATATTACAAAAGGAAAAATTGTTAAAAGAAGATTCACCATTGTAGCAGAGCTTATTGAGTCTTTGAAAGAACTAACTTCAGTCTAGCATGTGAACCAAATCCTACTAAACTCTTTGCCACAAGGTCTATGCTACAGTTCAGGAGACATAAGCAGCCTACTCATGAGTACAAACAATTATTTTAAGTAATCATAAATATTTCTGGGCTAGTAGTCTGTAACCACCAATCTTTTGTTCTTTCTTACTCCTTAAGCAAAACAACAGAATAGGTTTCATAGATTTCTACTTGCCAGAAAGACTCAGAGAAACCCAACTTGACTCTCTATTCCTTGAATTATCTGTCCTGGTACTTGGGCCTTTTCAGATAGGTTAGGCATAAGAGTACAAGTAGAAAAGTAGCAGGTGAGATTCAGAGCCTTAATGTTACTTTAGTGGTTAGTTTCTCTCTCTCCCTCTCTCTCTCTCTCTCTGTCTCTCTCTCTGTCTCTCTCTCTGTCTCTCTCTCTGTCTCTCTCTCTGTCTCTCTCTCTCTCTCTCTCTCTCTCTCACACACACACACACAGTATTAATATTTCTTAGAGAAATACACAAAGAGTGAAACACAATAAGGTAACTTGACTTTTGGCTTAGGAGACACTACTACATAGGTATCTGAACAATACTATAAATTTAGCTTCTATATAAAAGACCAGACCTAAGAGAGGCTAGGCTCTACGGACTACAGCAGCCAATTACACAAGCACCTCAAATGGTTCTACCTGGTATTTTAATTTCACAGAGAGGCAGGAGAACTAACCTTATCCATCACTTTGCAAAAGCAATCCTGGGACCATGTAAGGGTAGGGACTAACAAATTGTGTTCACAAGTCCTTGGCATGCCTCCCTTAAATAGGGAAAACTTCATTTTTCTCCCATTGAGTAAGGAATGTATTTAATGACTAGCTCCTAACAAATAGAATGTGGGATGAATGAGAGTGTGTATCTTCCTCCATACCAAGAGCAGCCCTACAAAGACGGGCCTATGCGGTGAGGAACTGAATCCTCCTTCTGACTACCAATGAAGAGCTGAGGTTTCCTGCCAAAAGTCATGTAAGACACGCAAGTAAATCATCCTGCCCCAATCAAGACTGTAGCCTTAAATGACATGACTACAAGTTCATGAGATGCTGGACCAGAAGCAACTAGAGAAGCTGCTCCTGAACTGCCCTACAAACTGTGAGAGCCCATTTGATGGCTAACAGAGATAAAATACTCTCAAAGGCACAACTCACCTGTTCAAGGCCACCAGTGTGTCCCACCTGGTTTAGGTGGTTCCTCAGGAGCTGTCCAGGGTCATTTGATGTGTCTCGAGCAAACAAGAGTACAGAAAAAAATGGGACTTCCTTTCCCTTCTCTTTATCATCATAGAGTTCGATGGCTCTGTTTAACATTAGAAATTTTACAGCTTCATAGAGGCTATACTCCTCTTCTTCATTGGTGAACAGTTCATCACAAGCTATCTGCCTTGCTTCAGCAGTCTTCATTTCGGCCAGGCTTGCCCACTACAATAAGAAAAGTTGTCACGATTACAATTTGTGTTCTGAAAATCCCTGGCTTACTTCTGCAACATGAGTATGAGATGATTTTCACAAGTAGGGGACTATAAGACACATGTCAATGTGAATAGCTTCAAGTTCTCACCCACACAACAGGATTCTTCAGACTACATGAGCCCCTTATTTAGCGTCTTCCCTGCTTAATGTGAAACGCAAGTACAACACAGTAAGGGGAAGCGCGGGGATATGAGGTGGAAATGCTGACTCCCTAACTTCCTAAGCAACAAGAACAACACCAACAAGCAACACCTGACAGAAAGTGTGTGAAAGCTATGAAGCACAGCTGTGCCTGCTACACCTGGACGAGGTTTTAGAAAGTTACCCCAGAAATATGCAGCAAGTCTCCAAAATGGAAGGCTGCCAAGGGAAACTGTGGGATCTCCTGAATACTGGTTTATTAAATCTACCCATACAATGTTTTAAAAATATATGTGAGAGTCTAATGAATAAATCCAATCAGAAAATCTTGACTCCTAAAAAAATAAAGGTTTTCAGACAAGAAAACTCTTTAAATGAACAAGAAAGCATGGTAAATATGTGTACTGCTAAGTTACCATGAAAAAAAGAGATGTCGCTATAAATACCAGTCCTTATGAATAAACATTAATTAACATTGCTTTCAAACATTAAACACCAGTCCAGATTTTAAATCTGAGAGAAATTTTAATAATCATTACTATTCATAAAACTATTCATAACTCTCTCCAATCTTCTGTTTTTGCTTTTCAAGATAGGGTTTCTTTGTGCAGCCCTGATTGTCCTGGAACTTGCTCTGTAGACCAGGCTGGCCTTGAACTCACAGAGATCTGCCTGTCTCTGCCTCCTGAGTGCTGGGATTAAAGGCATATGCCACCACCACCCAGCCCGGCGTTGGCACAGATTATTAATAAGCAATTTTAATGTTACTGTAAATTGGTATCACATACACATTCCCTCAAAGGAGGGTCTAATTACAGTTGACATACTAATAAGACAAAACCAACAGTTTCATCAGACCCTAGAAAATATGAAAAAGAAATTGCAATCTATATAGCTGAGCTGACAAAGTCACCACTGCCTCCCTCACAGAGCTGCAGCCTGCACGCACTACTCCACTATGCCAATGGCTGGTAGATGCAGGCTTCTCACCCCTAAACACTACACACTGCACTCCAACAGGCAAGGAGAATAACTGTGCTCTTACAGTCACTCTACCACAGAAAGGCAGAACTATAGACACCAGACCAAATTCAGACAACTCTCAAGGTTGATTCAAAAGACAAGTCACTGTATGCACTCACTGAAAAAGAGTATAACACATATGGGCAGACTTCAAATCTAAAAATAACTGGAAGGAACCTCACACACACAGAGGTCACTGAGAACATAAATGTAGGCTAAAGGGCTGGAGAGACAGCTCACAGTTAAGAGCACGTGCTGCTCCTGCAGAAGATGCCCATGTCGGTGCTCACCACCATCTCTAACCTCAGCTCCAGGAACCCAACACCCCCATATGGCCTCCATGGGTATCCATATGCCCATACACATATGTACACGAACAAAATAAATCATTAAAAAGGAAATGTGGCTAAATGATAACCATGAAATTTATAAACATGACAGAATAAAAATTTTATTTATTAAGGTTTCTTCTGAAAAAACTTAAATGTTATCTGAGATACTCATATATAGCACCACCTCCAAGAATACAGAATGTTGGTGTTTTTCTATTTTACCAAAGGCTTTATGGGAAGAATTTATGCCCTTTTAAAGTTTTCTTTTTCAATGTGTGTGCATGTGTATGTGTGTACATGTGCAAGGGCATATATGTGTGCATGTATGCATGTGGAGATTAGAGGCTCTCACTGATCAATTAGGCTAGCCTGGATCAACAGTCAGTGAGCTTCAGAGATCCTCCTGTGGCCTGCTCTCCAATGATGGGATTACAATCATGTGCCACCCTATCCGGCTTCTTTCCAGGAGTTCTGGGGAATCAAACTCAGTTCCTGGTCATACATTTTACTGACCACACAATTCTTCCAGCCCAAAATTATTTTGTCTGAAACCAGCAAATTCTGGCTTTTAAAGAGAACCAATAGCCAAAATGAACTTTCTTTCTTTATAAACTTAGTAACTATGAATAAAGAAACAAGCCTAGAGCATTGAGTCTGCTGGGGGAATGAAAGGGAGAGTTTTGCACCAATCAGACAGAAAATTACACAGGTCACACCTTCTTCCTCAGCAGGGCAAGGGACTCCTTAATTTTTTCAACCAGGTCCTCATTCTTCTCATCAAAGTTCAGTCCAAGTTTCCACTGCTTGATCCAGCTATACTTGTTTATCAGCTTTTCTGGTAACTAGAATATCAAGAAACAGAGATAAAGAGGTGTCAACATTGTAAGATATGTGACACAACCTAAAAGGGAGATACCACAAAGCCTTTACACAAAACCTACCTTAATTTCCAGAATTAATTCCTGCAACACACACACACACACACACACACACACACAATGAGACGTGTTCAGTTCCCTGGGGACCTAAGCCCCAGGGACTCTTCCATAAACAGTAATTCTGACTATGCTCTCTGTCTGTGACAATCATGTGCAACTAGGATGGTTTTGTCTCTATAAAAATCAGCAGCACAGTAACTGTGCTCTGCATCACTCAAGTGGGAAAGCCATGTAGTCACAAGCATCTTATCATGATAAATGACCATTCACTTAAAGCTGCAACAGGCCCACGATGCCCACACATTCTTGCAACATGGACAGGAAGTTTCTCAATTTAGTCTCAGATTTATCACCAGAATCTACCATGCCCTCAAGTGGCAACAAAGTGAAATTACAATCTGGCTCCAAGAACCACAATCAGACAAAAAATAACTGTCTCAAAGATGTGTAAGACGGTAAAGGAGATAAATGACAGCCCAGAACTCTGTAATACTGGACAGTTATCTAAAATGCAGGCACACCAGTCAACTCAGTTACTTTTGGGAGAAACAGGTTACCTTCCTCATTTCATTCACGCACTTACTAGTCAATATGTTGATAAAGCGATTAACCAGGTCCAGGGTGTACAGATATGGAAATCTTGGAAAAAAGTAATTAAAAATAAAACACAGAAGAGAGGGCCAACAAGACAGTTCAGTGGGGAGAAAGCACTGGCCACGCCAGCCTGCTGCCCTGAGTCCAATCTCAAGGACCCACGCAAACGTAGAAGGTAAGTAAACTCCACACAGCTGTCCTCTGACCCCCACACACTCACTGTGTAGAGGGAGGGGCACACGCGCACACACACACACACACACACACACACACTGAGGAACCATTAGGAAAGAACAATAGAGTTGGATTTATTGAGAAGAAGTAAATATAACTTTAAATGCTTTCATGGGTCACATTGGGGTCCACATAAATCACCATTCCTTTCTAGTAAGCACAAAGGCCTGCCTTCTACTGGAGTAAGAGATCCAAGAAACAGACTGGCCAGGTAGTGGCAGTATTCTCCCTTAATATCAGCAGAAACAGGTGGTCTCTGATTTTGAGGCCAGCCTATCCTACAGAGCAAGTTCCAGAGCTACAGAGAAACTCTGTCTTGAAGAACCAAAAGAAAAACAGAGACAGACTGAAGCAGGAAATGATGATGGTGTTTAAGAATCACATGTTGTTTAAGAATTACTAGGTAGCTTAAACACAACATGACTTGTGAATGACCTAGAGAATAGCCTGTTTTCTCTAACAAAAACCTATAGTCTTAATAACATGACTGTTGCACGTATCAAAAGTATCATACCAAAAAACGAAATCACAAAGAGCTTTAGTATCTTTCTCTAGCAAATGCTGTCACAGTCTCGCCCATTCAGAGATCTTTAAAAATACAGTACACTTAAAAACTAAAAAGTCTTGGCCAGCCATGTCCAGATTGGGGCTGGAGTCAGATGATCTTCCTGCAGTCAGGCAGGTTGAGTTCTGGACAGAAATGAGAACCTCAAACAGGATGCCTAGGCAGGCAGGGATGAGAGAAAAGGGGACAGCTGTCTATAAGAGGGGCAAGGAGGACACAGCTCAGCTCCTAACCCTGAAAACAGCAAGGAAGGTCGGAAAAGCTGAGCAGAATGGATGGTGCCTTCCACAGAGTCATTTTCAAGGGAGGACTGCTAGCCTAGCTGTTTCCTCTTGACGTCCTGGCATTGTGATGAGAGTCACACAGTCTGCAAAGGCAGCAGGCAGCTGCACACTTGCTCACTCCATGAATCCCCAGCAAAACCAAACACCTGTATATCTACCCACCCCCCTCCTAGCACATATAACAGAGCTGGAGGCCAGTGTTGCACTCAAATCTTAGAAATAAACTATCAAGAAAGGTCCAAACCACATTAGGTTTCTGAGGGCATGTTCATCAGAGACTGAGCAGTACCAAACTCCAGTCAATGTGAACACTGACTCTGCAGTGACTGTGCCCTCAGAAAAGAAAGCTTCTGATGCTGCGGGAAAGAGGAAATCACACAGAGCCACTGGGAATTTTACAGCTGCTTGTACATTACTCCAATTAACCAGGAAAACCACATGACAGCCACATCACTCCTACAAGGCACACATTTCGATACTAATCAATAGTGAATGCAACCTATTTATTCACCCTTTGGGGGCGGGGGGAGGCAGGTCTTGAGAAAAGGCTGCAATATATATATATATATATGTAGCCCAGGCTGGCCTAAAAAGTCACAATCCTTTTGCCTCAGTATCAAAAGTGCTGGATTACAGGCATGCACCACCCCACCTTACCTGACCTGTTTCAAATATGACATTTAGGACATTATATGCATCAAAAGCTCTTAGAAAGTATAAAATAAAATTTTAATTCAATGTCAAATAAGTCCAGAAAAAGCCCCACAAAGGTAAATGTGTTATAATTTAAGAAAAGCATCAAAAGAAAAAGATGCCAAGCAGCAGGGGTAAAGGGGATATTTAGGAAAGGGATCATAAAAAAGAGAAAGGGAAGGGGGAAAAACCAGCCTCGAGACAGAAGCAGCAGGAGAGAGGGAGAGAAAGAGGAGAGAGAGGGGAACACACAGACAGAGGGAGAAAGAGAGAGAGGGATGGGAGGTGGGCACAGGTGATGCTCTTGGTGGCTGCAGCTGAGGGCGTATCCTGTCGGAACCTCAAGGGCAGATCGATATGATGTCTGACTACTAACACGTATTATTTAAGCCTATAGTGACCCACATTCATTCCACTTACTGGTTGTGTTGAAAGCACAGTCCATTCCTGTGTAAGAAGCCCAAGTGTAACAGGGACAAGTTAGTCAGCACACATTCACTACACTTAATACAGATTAGTACAACTGTTACTCCTAGCAAAACTTAGATAAGTGTTAACCACACAGAAGTAACATCTTTGCCATGTTTTTACCAGCCAGGCATGCTGACTCACACCTGTTACACCAGCACACAGAAGACTGAAGCAGAAGGATTACCACAAGTTCGAAACCAGCTTGGGCTTCAGAGTTAAAGCTCTGTCTACCCTCACACTCCAAAAAGCCCTTCATCTCATGTATAAATAAAAAACAGCAAAGTCATGTTAACTAATGCCAAGATTTACAAAATTTCCTATTAGAATCTACTACACAAAATGTCAGCATGTGACCTTTGTATCAGGACACTGGGAGGCATAGATCCCAAGAACTCTCTACCAGCTAGCAGACTTAAAGCACTAAAGACAGCCAGGGCCAGGAAATGCCTCTCCGTGTTGATGCTAACATTTCTCCATGAAAATAGTATTCATTTTTGAACTGCACCTAAAACCCAATAATAAATTATACAAACTATTTCACAGAAATACTAAAATAAAGTCAAGTTGTTTCTATGTGTTTTTGTGAATTCTAAACATCTGGTCTCTAATTTAGCTTAAATGTATTAAGTTTAACATTTTATCTTCTGGAAAACACTGGTTATTTCTAGTCATTTTTTATTCATTTTTTAAGTATCTAAAGTCACCTTAGACATGCAAAATTGAACAAATCCATACACTGAAATCATGCTGCATATAACAGCATTAGGCAGCATAAGCAGAAGAGATGTCTTGTCTCAAGAACTCCCTGAAACATACCAGCATGAGCTCCGGGTCCTGCAGCCAGAGGGGCAGCTCTGCCAGTTGGCTCATGGCCTGGAACAGCGTGGCCCTCAGCGCACAGTAATTATCACCACGTACTCGCCTTATAGATGCGAATTTCTGAGAAACTTCTTCATAGCCCTTGGGAGAAAACATCAAAAAGTTCAGGTAGCAGTTACTGACTTGAGAGAGCAAGAAAAGTTCCACCCCTACAGAAACTGTCCTAAATCACTGGGAAGTGGGAAACAAGAATAGTCTAATCTTTCCTGTAGGGCATTCCAATCTCTGATTATAATTCCATTTACTTTAAAATATTAATGCTGTATGAAATCTCCGCATCTGTAATAGTGGTTCTCAACCTTCCTAATGCTGTGACATTTAAATACAGCTCTTCATGTTTGGTGACCTGCCCCCCCCATAACATTATTTTGGTGCTACTTCATAGCTGTAATTTTGCTACCTTTATGAGTTACAATGCAAGTATCTGATATGCAGGACATCTGATATGTGACCCCTGTGGAGGTCACAACCCACAGGCTGAGAACAAATGCATCAGACCCGACATACCAAATAAACTAGTCACCCAGCACTAGCCACCCTCAAAGCCCCTTCCTAAGCAACTGAGGGAACACTCACTACTCACTAGTTAATCCCAAATGTTTTAATAAAGAGACCAGGAAAAGGGGAGGAGGGGAACATGCAGTATCTCCAGATTTAAAAATATACAAAATCCTGAGTTTCCAGTGTATGTGTGTACATACAGGCACATGTCACTTAGCGATGGTAATACATTCTGAGAATAAGTCACTAAGCAATGTCATCACTGTGGACAGACACATCAGAGTGCACTTGCACAAACCTAGCCAGTATATCCTACTAGATACTTGGGCTTACAGGCTCTCACTGAGTATTAGCAAGGAAATTGTGCTAACAAGCCACAATGGAAAAAAGGGATTAAGTCAAGTCTGAGACAACAATACAATCAAGAGATACAGTGAACATGTGATGTATATAAAGTTGCTGCTGGTATAACACGGCACACTGTTCTAAACAAAAGAGTGACATGGTCAGCTAAATGCTGTGACTACATGATTGGCAGTCCAGGTTTGTTTAAAACAGCACTAGGACAAACTCGGCAGTAATGTACCACAATCTGACACACCACAGCTACATCTTCGGGGGATACAAAAATTTCAGATCCATTAGTATCTTACAGGTCTGTAACTGTACATGGAGTATATCCATTACTTCAGAGAAGAATCTAACTCTTCATCTGAAGCTAAGCACAGGTAATTAGGCAAATAAGGACTAACATAAAATCAAGAGTTGAAGTTAACAAGCAATGATGTTAGTCAGCTTCTACCACAGCTCTCAGAGCTGCATCTCTACATAGATGCTTTGATCTGCTACTGACTGGTCACATCTTTCCCAGACAGGAATGATGTTCCCCTAAGTTCTAAAATATGGCATATATGGGTAGCCTGAGTATCTTCAGTATTGGACTTTAATATGTCAACTGTTAAAACAGATCTTTGAAAGAGATTGAGACAACAGAATAAAATTACTAGTCAGTGAAGGCTTTTTAGGGCAGGTAAGAAAATAGACTCATGGTTTAACTAGGTTTTCTGGGCAGCAAGTTGGAAACACTGAGTAGCTGATAACACAGTCAGCAGAAGGCCTCTGAAGGGTAAGTTTTTCACCTTTAGTAGGCACTAAGTATTTTGTGACTGAGTTCACATACAAGGATCTAGGATACAAATTTACAAGAAATGAGGCTGCAGCTGGCATTTTCTCTCAGATTTCCAAGGGGCAAAAGGCATTTGGGGACCTGAGGTGAACTCTAAAAGATGAATACTATTTTCTTTAAAACAACAAAACAACAACAAAAAAGAAAAGCTGTGAGGGAAACTAATTAAATTTTGAAAACTTTAAAACTTAAGCAAAAAAAAAAAAAGACTATATCTCTACTAAATACGATTTTATCAAATATGGCCTGGAGAAATAGCTCAGTGGTTAAGTGCTGGCTAGGCACCCATGTGACAGCCCACAATCATCGGTAACTCTAGTCCCAGGGGATCCAATGTACTCTGGCCTCTGCAGACATCGCACACATGTAGTATAGACATACATGGTAGCAAATCACCCATATACATAAAAATAAAAAAATAAAAGATTGCTCAGTATTTCTAAAATACAAGAAGTATATTCAAATTCAAAGTGTAAATAATCCAAGAAAAAAAGTAACCAAAAGACACAGCCTTAAGTACTAGGTAGAATTCTGACACTGCCAGTTGTGCAGCTCAAGAATGGTCTTACAGCAGCAGTTTCACATGGTTTACCCTCTAACAAGGAATGCTGTTGGATGGGGATACACTCTGTAGATAGAGCCTATAGGGTGTGCTGCAGTTCCGCTACCACCCTACACTCTTGGAGACTGTGTTAGTGTTGCCAGCATTTGCAATGAAACTAAGTGAAGGTAGCTCCTGGCACAACTTAAATGAAGGAAGTGGTTCAAGATCCCTCTGCATAGAGAGTACAGGAGAATTCTATACCCTAGGATTTGGACAGCATGTGTCCAAACACAGGAGATGTAGAATCACTCTGCCTATCCTTGGGGCTTTTACAACACTAAGTTAAGGAGGCACACCCCAAATGTTTCAGAGAGAACAGCATTGACTCAATTCTCAATAGCACTGCTATGTGTTATTCAAAGAAATTAAGTTACTGAAGAACTGACGTTGCTTCTATATTAATACGATGACTTCAAACAAGCCCTTATCTTTGCAGTCTGTTTGCTCATCTCTAAAATTAGAACTCTAATATTTACAGCATTGTCTTATTATAGCAGTTGTGTTAACCCATGTCTAGAAACATAATATGATATGTAACTTATGATAAATGGTTTGAAGAACTCAAATAGGTGCACCTTGGCTGTACCTTTTTCATACATGTGGCTTTCTGAGTATTTCCCCTCCATTCTTTCTTGCAGTAGTCCATAATATCCATTTCAGGAGCCACACTTAACCTGAGTTCTGTTGAAGAATCAAAATGGCAACAATAAAACAAAACAAATAGTGAACCACAGAGTAATGGAAATAACGGTACTACTTTACTGGGGGTGAAAGGGAGTCCGTTTTTTCTCTGGTTTAAAATTTCCTGAATCTTAATACTGCCTATGCCTCTAGTTCAGGCCACCACCATGCCACCTCCAGTAACCAGAGTGGTCTCTCACTGGGTCCCCCCTGTCACCACACCCTCAAGACCATTCTCCACACAGCAGCTAGTCAGGTAGCAGCCCTTCTTTACATGCTCAGAGAGCTGCAGGAGCTTCCCAGCTCATACATCTGACCCACAGGTATCTATGAACATTTTTGTAATTAAAAGCAAGCACATGAACCATGAGAAAATACTTCCACATCTGGAACTTTTCATATCTATTAGGTAGAGGTAATAAGTTACCAAAAATTACATTTGTATTTACCTAAAAGACTATAGTTTGCTAATAAGCCAAAAAGTAACAGACCTCTCACTACTGGCTAATCCACAGACTTCCTTTGATGTCCCCCAAAATTAGTACACCTCAAACAAATGTTACCAGTTTTGTTTTGTTTTTAATGCCTTTAGATTCTTTTCTCTCCCAATACCCTTCTCGTGTGCATGTGTGTGTACTGAGGATTACATCTGGGGCTTTAAATAAGATTTTCTTGATTTAACAGATGAGGTTTGATTTCTTGATATACACCTATGACTATGTGCATGTTTGTTATGACAGTTTGTTATTCCAAAAGGAAAATAGGCAAATTCTTGGGTTCATCTTGGTTTCTTTTTTTAAACTTTTAAGGATATAGATATTAACAACTGTTTTAGGAGGTGAACCTAGAAGTACTCCAGAACACAGAAAGCCTGCCTTTCTTACATGTGAAATGAGTGTTCCATTCAATTCTACATATATTCACTGAAGTTCTAACTGTGTAAAGCACTGTGCCAGAATTGGGAACATAAAGATAACAAAGGCGAAGATCATGCCCTGACTGGACTTCTACAGAAGAGGAGACCACAAGCACTTACAAGCCAGTGTACAGCAAAAGCCAGAATGACCAAGGAGCACCAAGCCTCACTAGTTTAGGGAAAGCAAAACAAAAACACTGAAACAAACCTTCAATAGTCATCTTTTCTTAAAGAAAAATCAGCCTTTTACAAAAGGGGAAAATAATCCATGCACAGATAACACAGATGTATTTCTGCATGGACCACGATATCACTTCTGTACAACCAATCCTTAAATAAAGGCCTTTCGTGTTTGAAATTCAAGAAATAATTTTAAGAGGCTGCTCAGAATAAGGAAGTACTCCCATGTACTGCCTTTCCACTCCCCCGCACAAACAGGAAGAACGACTAACACTCAGTCAGGACCCTTTCTGGACCTAAATTCTTGCCAGACAGGGGTATAAGCCTGGCGAGAAAGCACTCTACTATCAGAGTAAGGGTTTCTATGCAGGAAGGCTCCCTTCCCTGCCTTCCTCTCTGCTGTCCTCACTCCTGACCTCTGGGAAGGGCTAGGAAATCCTACTATCTCGGGTCACAGGGTAGGGCTGACCTAGGGGTCTTATAAAGGCAAGAGGCTAGTCAGATGGCTAGTCCTGTTCTGAACAGAGATCTGCGTGACGTGGGAGGCTTGGGGATATACTTGTACAGCTACAGCATAACACGATATGAATTCCACTGGGCTACTATCTCTGTGAGGACAGCAGCAGTCCCCATAGGCTGACCAGACAAGGAGATGGAGGCACAGGATGAGGCAGCGCCTGACCTCATCAGTTCACTGATTACAATACCCTCCTCCTTCTAGCTGTAAACTACACAGGCTCCCACTGCTGCTTCCAGGAAGACTATTTCTGTTGCAAAAAAAAAAAAAAAAAAAAATTAAATAAGGGAAGTGGTAATGGTAAGCAGGCACTCAAATAACTAAGATTTAGCCCTTATGCATCACATATGTGATGAATACAATAACCACATCTCAACGAGTAAGAAACAAAACTGGGACTCTTCCAGGAAGCTGGGTCTCTCAGAAGACAGACTAGGATCGGAATCTCAAAATTCTTATGCAATAGGTCTGGTAGAAACTAACCTGGGTTTTAGGAGCATATAGTTTCTGTCACATTACTGTGCTTGCATGAACGCTACCAAGGACAAACATAAACAGAAAAGACCCAATTGATCTTTATTTACAAAAACCACACAGGAGGTGATGGTTTAGAAAGCCTTTATGGAGCTAAGTTAGATGAATTATCTTTACTAACAAAGGGAATGAGAACATTCTTGGTCCTGGACTGAGCTCTGCAGAAGAGGCTGTGCTCTACAGGACACTGAGGAAGAGCAGGAACTCAGCAGCACTGAGCTCTAAGAAGCACTGTCACACTGAAGCTGCATGTCACAGCCTCACTAAAAGGCTTGGGTGCCTGTGTGGGGAGCAATGCTGGACAGAAGACAATCGCAACAGAACCTAGAAAGTGGAAGAGAAGAGGAAGAGGTTCTACAGCGTAGGCAAGCAATGGGTGGACAGAGAAGAGCCTCATGCCCAAACAGCACTCTGTGTCCTGAGTGATGTGGAGCAACACAACACAGCCATAGAGACTGAGCACCAAGAAGGACCACTATAAAACATCTCTGCTACAGGGGGAAGAGCTGAGCAGCTCTGGAAGAAGACTCAGAAAACAGCAAAACCTTATGTATCCTATTTACATTAATGCTTTTGTTAGTCATAAGTGAAATAGAAGCCAGTTCTCAAAAAAGACAGAACATGTGAGTGACACAAGCAGTGAGAAAGATATTAACATCCATACACATACTATGGAGTCTCTCTCTACTCAGCTTCTGCACAGGCCTACCTGCAACAGAAGGACACATTTCACTTGTAGCCCTGCTGGGAAGATCACCACAGGCTAGGGACCCAGGAGGAACACCAAGTCCACACCAGGAGCAAGCCTGACAGAGTAGTCGAGACTATGGAGAGCCACAAAATGACTGGTGCTATCAAGCACACAGCCATCATGCTACAGTCAATCAGATTCACATGACCTTCCTCAGACAAGGACATGTGTACAGCTAACTTCTCAAAGCATCTTACAACTGAAAATGAAAAATGTATTCACATCCAAACTGTTCTAAGAATGCAAAGAAATAAACAGAGAGAAGGCAGAGTCAACAGAGGCAAGGAAAAATCTTCCCTAAATCTATCTCAGCAAAGTGGATAATTCATATAGAGGAGACTACATGTATGAGAGGACTTCCTAGGAAATACAGGTCACATTTCATGAAAGCAGATATACTAATCTAACTAGATTTTCTATGAACAAAAAAAAAAAAGTCTACAAACAAAACAAGTCCAAACATACCTGATATCCCTCTTTCATGTATTAGCAATTCTTTCTCCTTTTCTATTTCATCTGCAGCACGGTACATGTCCTCCTCGCTGAAATCACACCAAAGTAGATATTTTCAAACTCTGTTTACTGACATTCCCCAATGTGTGATAACATACAGAAATTTATGAAATGCTTATGACACAGAAGTTTAACTGTTTTCATACACAGGATGCCACAGTAATGAAATGCAAGTCCTAGGATGATCTACTTCAACACTTTCTTCCACTTCAGAACTGCTCCCTTTAGATGAGACCATTCATATTTCACATGACTCCAAGGCCATCCAAACTAAAATCAACCAGCATGCACCTTAACCGGTAATGCTCCTAAAATGATTCCACCAAGTTCCAAGAACAGAAATCGTGCTAATAAAAGCATTTACACAGGAGTAATGACTTTCACAATGTTAAAAGCAATTCTAACAGCAGCTACTCTAAAAAACATGAAGAGAGAATCAATTATTACAAGTCCCTAAGCTAAAAATCCTCAAGGCTTCTGTTCCCTAACCAGCAATCAACCAACCACCCAGATGCTGCTATGTTCCCACAAGCTTTAATGACTGCCACTAATGAACAACTTCTTTAAGAATACAGTCACTTCCAGTGAACTACTAGTATTAGGAAGGGGGAAAATTGTAGACAAAGAAAATGAGTAGGGCTCCCACCTTGAATAAGCCTCCCTTTCCTTGAATATTCAGAGGCCTGGCTAGAGCTGTTCAGCATGTTCCAGCTTTAATGTTAATCCCAGCACCTCAAAAATACTGTTAACCCTAAAACAACAATATGGGGAACAGAACACAAACCATCCTGGCTGAAAGCAAAAGACATGTATACAAAAGACCAATAGGAAGCAGAGGGGCAAATGGTGCAGGCAGGGAAGTCCGAGGTTGTGGAGGGGCAGCTAGGCACGGTAAGCTAGTGAGCCAGGAGGAAGTCTAAGGTTCAGGAACTAGAAGAAGCAAGTCCATTTGAAGGAACAGCAACACACTGAGCTTAAAACTCAGGAGATTCCACATAGGAGTGTACAGACCTCCAACTCCCTGTATTTCCCATGACAGTGACCCATGCTCACAGCAGACTGGGAGAGAGGAGTTTCAAACACGATGGAATCCAGGAAGGAAGAGGTACCAGGCTCAAACAGAAGGAACTAAGTACATGAGTAGGGTACTTCTGCTTCTGATCTCTTTATCTGTGGGCATGGCCTGGAGACAGAACTGTGAGACAGAACAGCAGAAGATCAGGAGAGACAGATGCAGAAGGGTCTAGAGAGTGGACTGCAGTGGGAATCTAATAAGAACCTTATGAAATCATCCAGTTTCCCAACTGTGAGAGAACAAATGTCTAAATCTGCACCTTGTAGATGTGGTGGTACATGCTTATAACCTCAGTTCTTAAATCAAGAAGCTGTGGCAGGAGTCAAGGCCAGCCTGGAGTACAGAAAGACCTTGCCATTCATATAGTTATCAGTCATATATATGACTATTCATGTATCTATGAGTTATATATGTGCACACACACACACACATACTACATATCCACACTTCCCTCCAACATGGACTTGATTATTCCCCTAGGTACTGTTCAGAGTTCAGTCCAAACAGTGCCACAAGTGCTCTGCACTTTACACCCATGTCTTCCTACAGGTGTTCTTGTTCCAACAGGTTCAGAATCAGTCTCTTTCCTACCACATCCTGACACATGCTGCATGGCCCCACCCTCTACAGAGAGCAACAGTTGCTATGGGCACCCAAGTCAGACTGGCAAGGCTTAGATACTATTTACCCCAACCCTTATTACCTCTATGTACAACAGTTACTAGAGTATTTACTTCATAGGACTGTTGTCTAGAGAGAAAAACTTAAAATAATGAGTATTCAAAAAAGTTAGTTACTATCAATTTTCATATATCCACTGATACGGAGAGTACTAATAAACTATTTGCCCAGTGATCATTTCATATCTTTGTTTTTCCTAGTGTGTATGTATGTATATGTGTTAGCAATGTGATGGTAAGAGAGCAAGTATCATATGCTCCAGTGACATTTCAAGCAAAAGGCATGATGTCACCCACAGAGGTTGTGCTAAAGTTAAAAGCCAACAGATGCATGGGAACAACAGATCAAAGGCCAAAAATAAAATATGACCACATGTACTCATTCTATTCTCATAAATGTAATAACATCTTTCTGTCAAACCCACTACTATACCTACCAGAGAAATCCGGATTCTCTAAAACAGTCATTGAAACAAATCACTTTCTTAATATATTTAAATTCTCAGAAGCTGCCTTTGGACAACACTTCCCCAATCTTGCCCTCAGCTTTCTCAGCTTCAATGAGAAGGCTGGTAAGATCTGTATGTTCTGCGGTTCCTCTTCCAGCTAAGTTCTAACCGCCTATCATATATTTGCATTTCAGGCAAATTCTGTGGCTAGCCTGCATGAACATTTGGCTCCCTTCTGGTCCTCTGTTCCTAATTTACAAGATAACCAAAAACATAATCACAACCCCAGGGCCCAGAAGAGGCAATCCAAAGAAGCATTTTACAAACACAAATTCCTATGAGAGCCAAAAGAAGAAGAATTAAAAGAAACAAACAGCAGCCGGGCGGTGGTGGCGCACGCCTTTAATCCCAGCACTCGGGAGGCAGAAGCAGGCAGATCTCTGTGAGTTCGAGGCCAGGCTGGACCGACAGCCTCCAAAACGATACAGAGAAACCCTGTCTCGTAAAACCAAACAAACAAACAAACAAACAAACAAAACCAACAAACAGCAGAACAAACAGGAGCGCTGAGTACAAAGGGAAGGCAAAAACGGTATGGGAATTGGTGGCAGTAAAAGGCAGTAGTTCGGACACAGTCCTCACAAAAGGAGAAAAGCTGCTGACGAGCCCACACATCCACAAACTACTTCAGCAACCGGGCAGGCAGTTTACCCAGATCCTTGCATCAGTATTTGTGAATTTCCTTGGCCACCAAAGGCAAGCTGTAATGGATGAGGACCTTTAGTATTGATCCCAAAGTTGTGTTTTCTTGGAGAACAGGTAAATGTCAATTTTAAGGATTGAAGATCAACAGTCAGAAAAGAAAGCATGTGATAGCCAGGATGAAATGAAAGAAAGAGCATTTGCCTAGCATGTCCCAGTCTCTGAGCTCACTCCCTAGAACAGTAAATAATAAAATACAAGGCTCCATTGAAACTCTCTCTGTGTTTGGGCTGAAGCTCAGGGGCTTTATCCCCAGCACTAGAACAAAATAAAGCATGGTCTTGATGTTTTAAGAATCAAAGTATTACACTGAAAACAACTACAAAAGGAAATTATATTTAACGCTGGCGATGTGAAGCAGGCAGAGATCTGGTTTATTTTTTGTTTTTTATTTTTTTAAGGGAAGGGGAGATAATGAAACAATGCAAGGAAAAGAGATATTATTAAGATAAAGTCATCAATGCTGACAGCTCTGAAAGGATGGCAACTAGTAAAGACATGTCCACTCTGGAAAGAACAGAAGCCACAAACCCCACAGGCTCAAACAGTTCCACAGCAAACACTTTTCTCCCATAAAATATGACAGCTATAAAATAGTAAAGAGAAAAAGGACTCAATATCCAGACATGCTAGTTACATTTAAACTGTGCAGATGCATTTAAAACCAAACGATAATTCCTACTAGAAATTTCCTAGTTATGGCATTATTTAAAAGGATCTGTTTTCAAGTTCCATCAAATACTATTTATCCATTTTCTCATGAGCTAAACTATTTTATTCTGAAAGCAACATGCCAAATTGAGTAAGCTCCAGTGCACCCTAAATTAAACTAGTACCTATTACTCTTCTAAGAGATTTCCATATCAACAAGTTTTAAAGATTGTGTGTGTGTGTGTGTGTGTGTGTGTGTGTGTGTGTGTGTGATGGGAGGGGGCTGAAAAAGACTCTCTCACAGCTGAAGCTGACTTTGAACTCCTGAGCCTCCTACCGTTCAACCTTCAGAGTACTGGAATGGACCATTAAATGCAGCTAAAACTTGTTTGTAAATGCTCACTGGTGCAGACAAAATTATATTTCCAAGAAAATAGCAAATTAAAGGCAGAGCTCAGTGAAGCAGATCACTGTGAAACCATATTTTCAATTCCTGATTCAAGACATGAAATGGCAACAGTCAATTCTAACTTATACACACGGCTTACAAGTCAATATTTTTTGTTTCAAAAAGATGTATTATAAAACAAATGTTTTCCTTTATAAGAAAAAAAGATGTATTTCTTTTGATTTTACTATTTTATGTATATAAGTGTTTCCTTGAATGCATGTGTGTGCCTGGTGCCTGAGGCCAAATGAGGGTGCTGGATGCCCTGACACTAGAGTTACAGATAGTTGTGAGTCGCACTGTGTGGGTGCTGGGAACCTGAACCAGGTCCTACACAAGAGCAGCAAGTACTCTTAACCACCAGTCATTTTTCCAGCCCCCAAAATAGTATCTTAATCACTCACCAACAAGAACATTTGACCAAGGCACCCCTAGTTATCTAAGAAGAACAGAGTATGTATTTCTGCTCAGGCTTGAACTGGAGCCCTGCTGTTCATATATAACCTGGTCTGTAATGTCTCAGGCAGTGTTGCTGAGACAGTCAACCAGTGTGACACCAACATGTCTTCCCACACAGACACAGGAAAAGTAAAGACCACTCAACCTAGCCTTTTCCCACTGTTCAGTGACTGCAGAAAAGGGTAAACAATACAGCAAATGCAGGAAAGTACCAGCACCTTGGCCAAAATTCCACCCACTTCTGCAGTGGACTTTCCACGTCCAGCTCATGCTGCTCCATGTGACTTCCAAAAGGGCGTAAGGACAACATAGCCGCACTCAACAATGAGGTTTGGAGACAGCATAGAGGATTCCCGATGTAGGTGCAGGTTCTCCCTCGAGTGAGGAAAGGAGAAGGGGTCCATTACTACCCCACCACTATACCCAGTCTTACCTGCTCCCTGAGAGCTAGACTGGGCAAGGGCAGAAAACATATATCACAATAGTGGGCTTGACAATCCCTGAAAACAGCTTAATGTTTGTAGGGCAGGGTGTGCTTGCAGACACTGTAGGAATCCACACCTTAGAGTGGGAACACAGTTTGCCCTCAATTTCATAGAACTTCACAGACTACTGTTATCTCCCACCCACTATGAATCCCAGATTCAACTACAGTTTCATAATCAAGTAGATTGAGAAGGTATATGGGGCAGTCTGTGAATTCCTTAACCAATTCAGTGTGCTATAACTGCTTAAGGGTACTCTACAGATAGAACAGAAATCAAACAAGAAGGGATGGGGATAAGCAGAAAGACAGAGCAAAAGAGAACTGCAACATGAGCAATCAGGGAGCTTGCAGAAGGCCAATTAATCTGGTCTTCTAAAGGGACCCCAAGTTTTCCTGTGAGCCATCTTGGGGTTTGTTCAGCCAGCAGTGTGTACATGTGGTTTATGTGTCTCTTCCCCAGTCTCTCCCTTATGAAATGCAGTGAGCTTACTGGAAAGAAATCAGGGCAGCCTGTGCCACTGGAGTCACTCATCATACCCTTCAGCTGCAGGAGACTGGCTAACATTTGTATTCATAATTAATTTTCCCTCAAATGTGGTAAAAATTGACTACACACAGTATATCAAATCATTATGTACTGTGTTCCCTATTTTAAGGTGCAAACATTTTCAATGATTTGAGTGGAAAGAAAGATCTTTCCAAAACAGATTTTTAAAGCACATTCTTCACAATATTAATCTAAATTAACACTCAACTATTAAGCTGCAACTATCACATATGCATCTATCATACTGTAAACTATGTAATTGTTTCTATGATACATGACCCTGAGAAAGCCTCACAAAGAAAAGCAGCCCAATTAACTACTCATATAATGCTGATTCAGAAAGCTTAAATAGGCTAGTGGTGTGATTATTGAAATAGTAACATCTTTAAGTGACACTAGCCTCATTTCCCCACTGATGAAGGGTCAAAGGAGAATGGGATAATTAAAGGCAACACCGGCAATAAGAAAAAAAGACGTTAAGCCAATAAAATCACAAACATAAACATGATGATGGCCAAGTTTGCTGTCCTTATAAATCATGCCTCTGTCCAGTGTTACTAAGGGAGTCAGGAAGAAGGGAGAGGAAACTTGGTCTTGAAATCCCCTACCTCTGTATCCCTCAACAAGCTGTGCCTGCAGAATCTGCAACTGTTTCCTCAAGTGTAAGATGACAAACCTAGACTTTCAGTTTGAGAACTACTACCAGTACTCCTTCCTCTGAGGTCTATTTTCCAAGGTGTTCGTGAGACCCACACCAGAAAACCTACCCAATGCCTATGTGTACTTCTGGGAATGTAGTTCTCAAAAGCTCAGGTGTCTTGCAAGCCATGTGAAACTGTTGGGTAATATGGCTGAGTTGCAGGACTTAACAGGCCAGGCATCTAGGCAAGGGTTCAGGACAGGAGGATGGAAGGAAGTAGGAGCAGCTGGGAACCAACTTGGGCCTGGAGGAAAAGCAGAGGCAAGAGACATCCTAGGTCTCTAACCTATGCAGCCTCAACTTGGCAAGCCATAGGTTAGACCAACTCACTCACAGACCTGTGCATGGAATTCAACACAAAGAATAACTGCCCCTATTTAGGAATCAGGACATTTCATGCAAAAGCCAGTATCATTAACCTCAGAAGATGCAGCAGCTATGCCTGGAGCTTAGAAAATGCTGACCCAAAAAAAGAGTTTTTTGCTCTCCAAGTCCCAAAGCAAACTGCCAATGTCACTAACTCTTACACTGCCAGCCTAGCTAGCTCCACTTCCAGGAGAAAGTTAAGGCCTCATACCATTCGCTCATTACGAATCAGTGCCATCACACTTGGGTGCTCAATAAATAAAAGCAATCAAAGCCCACCACAATGCTACTACATCACATTTTCACTAGCAAGGCTTCAAAAGACCCCTTTTTAGATTAAAAGAGCTCTAAAGGATCACTTAGACATACCTTACAATTTAAATTTCGGGTCAATAGAAAATTAGTCCGTGTCTGAAGAGATGGCTCAGTGGTTCGGTTCCCAGCACTCACATGGTGGCTCACAACCCTCTGTAACTCCAGTCCCTGGGGTTCAACTCCCTCGTCTGGCCTCCTCAGGCACCAGGCACTTACGAGGTACACAGACACACACGCAGGCAAAACACTCCTACACAAAACAAATCAATCAATCAAAAAGAAAAAGAAAAAAAAAAAGAGAGAGAGTATCAGTCAAATTGGCTGGCTGAGCTGTTGATTTTGTAAGCCCAAAGGCATATGTAACCATGCCACGAACTCTGTGGTCAGCTCCAGACCACGCAAAATGTAAACGCTTCGGACTTGGGCCAACAAGGAACTGCTCGAAAACCGCACTGATTTGTGTGCGTGTTTAAAAAGCAACGGGCAGAGGGGGATGGGGGGGGAGGGAAACCGTGCCAGGCTCTGACAGAGTAAAACGGACAGGGCTAGCCTGTGGCCAAAGTCTGTCCAACATGTGCGACACTCTTCAAGGGGTGACTGGTCTTCCCAGAGCAAAGGCATCGCGAGGCAGGCAGCTCTGGGGCTGTGACAGGGGCGACCTCACTTCCTCCGGGCTAGGTGGGAGGAAAGGGCTACAGGGAGTCAGTCGGTCGTGAACTGAGACTCTCTCCAGAGCTTTTTCTAACTTCAGGGATGGACAGCGGTCAAAGCGGGAGAAAGTAGGGCGGCCTGGGTGAGCCAGCTGTGTGCGACAGGGTCGGTACTCCGACTCCGTCCGTCCAGCTCGCTTCCTATGGCTCGCCCGCAGCTGGAGCCGAGGGAGCCCGCGCCCACGGCAGCCCCGCGCCCTCGCCCGCCCCGCTCACTCACTGCTCGGCCGGGCACCGCATCGCGGCCCGGGGCTGCGCGCCGCTCGTCACCTTCCCGCCCTCCCGCGCCGCGGCCCCCGCCTCCCGCGCCGGCGTCTCGGCGCAGCTCGCTCCGGGCCACGCTCCGGGCTGAGGCATGGTTCCCCGACTCATGGGCGGCCACGCCGGGCCCTGCGGTCCGGCCGTCTGGAGCCGTGGCTGCGCCGCCCCGCACCTCGCGAGGTTGGTCCGCACAGCGCTTCCGGGAGCGTCACTGAGGCCCCGCCCCCGCGACCTTCGACCCTTTGACGGCGTGGGGGCGTGGCGGGAGGAGAGGCGTCCGGAGGCGGGCTACGCCTGTGCAGAACAGCCAGAGATGCAGAGTCCCAGACGGCCTGTGCCCCGCCTACACTGCGCATGCTCGGATCCTTCTCGCGGGCGCATCTGTTCACCCGGGATGCACAGGCGGGAGATACGGGTGTGGGAAGCCGCGTAGGAAAGAAGACCCTGGTAATGGAGGGTTCAGCCCTCCGTCCCTGTAAAACTCCGTCTGGCACCGGTTCCTGAATGACAGGTCAGCCTCCGGAGCCCGCGTGGCAGCGGCTGTGGGGTCACAGTTGAGCAAGCGCACACTGTGTGTAAGCCTGACTATATTATTTCTGATTTAAGAATGAGAGCAAAGGGCTGGTGTTAGCAGGCTCCCAAGAGCTGCCATGAAATGTTTCAGCCCTCAGACCGTGGGGGCGCAGATGCCAAGGTGAGTAGGTGAGTTAGGCTTAGCTCCAGCCTTGAGCGCAGAGCCACAGCGTGAAGGAATGGAGTGGCAGGGACAGATCCTGATCGGAAGCCTGCAGGAGGTTCAGGGACAGAGCAGGTAGATAGCGGCGGATCTTACGGAACGACGCGGAAAGTCAGGTCATTAGAAGCCAAATCAGATTGATAAGCTTGAACTTGGTCTTCATTGAGTGCTCCTGAGATCGTTTTGAAAGATGGCTTTTGCCTGCAATTAAAGGATGGGGCTGGAGAGATGGCTCAGCAGTTAAGAGCACTGACTGCTCTTCTGAGAGGACCTGGAATCAATTCCCAGCACCCACATGGCAGCTCACAACTGTCTGTAACTCCAGTTCCAGAGGATCTGACATCATCTCATTTATGCACACAAAATAAAGTTGAATAAATTATATTTTGAAAAGTAAAGGATAGTGTAGGGAAAAGGGTCCAGCCAAAGAAAAAACACTTTGGCCCTGCAACCAGAACCAAAGAAATGCACCCTGGCCCTGAAACCAGTGCCAAAGAAACACGCTTTGGCCCTGGAATCAGAGCCAGTGAGAGAAATACACCCTGGCCCTGAAACCAGAGCCAAAAGACTAAAAAAATGACCAAAGAAAGAAGCACACTTTGGCCCTGAAACCAGAGCCAAATCTGACCCTGACCCTAACCCTTTGCCGAAAACTAACCAATCCCTGAGCAGGAGATCTAGCCATCCTAAACTCAGGGATTGAAATCTGACCAAGGCCTACCCTGCAAAAACAACCCCGCCCCCAAAAAGCCCTATATAAACCCTGTGTCTGTTTAGCTTGTAGCTGTTCATGCTGCCCAACTGTCCTCTGCTTTCTGGCAGAGGGCAGCCACTCTGCTGGATTCTTCCCAATAAATCTCTTGAATGAAGTTTGGGTGAAGATCTTCTTTTGCAGAGGAGCAGAGAGGACCCTGGGCAGAGCAGAGTGATCAGGGCTGTAACACTTTTGCCGGGGGAAACCTTCCCTTGGTAGAGCGGAGTTTTTACACTCAGCTATCCACTCTGCTGGGAGCAGAGCTGAACTATAGCAACTTCACCCGGGGGAAACCCTCTCCTGCCAGAGCAAAGCTGCTACACTGGGAAAATACCCCCATCTGGGAAATCCTCTCCTGCTGGAGCAGAGCTGATACACTAGGGAAGCCTTTCCCTGAAGCAAGGCTATGAGCTGCTATGCTTGCTGTGACCTGTGGTATTCTGTGACTCCCGAGTGCCAGAATACTTTTCTATCCAAGCTGTAACACTCAGTATTCTTTGGCTCCCGAGTGCCATAATCCATCCCTGTTCATCCCATCCAATCTGTCGAAATGCTTGCAGATAGGGCTGAATGGTGTTCGGGACAGGGAGCACACTAGTGTTAAACATCCTACAAGGCAGATTAAAACTTCCTTGAGTATGCAACGCTAGAATGATTAGGAGCAAGCTGCTTGGGCTGTCTTCAGTTCCCCTTAATAGTCATTGATTGCCAACCCCTGTGTTGAGGCAACTTCATTGTGGCTGTTAGGTAAATCTTTATGGAATGTACAGCCTCTTTTACCAACCCAAGAGCAAAGGATATCATGAGATAGCACCCAATACCTATAACAAACATTTATACCATCTTCTTGATTTTTCCATCGAAGTATTTTAAAATACTTTAACCTATTTTATTCATTCTGTTACTATAAAAAACAACAACAACTATGAAACTGTTGCCATACTGGAACATATTTGGGATAACCCAAGTCTATATTCCTCAAATTTATCTGGCTCCAGAATAAACTGTCTCTCGCCGTCTTTCAGGTGAAACTGTTCTTTATGCAGACACTTGGGAGATAAACTTGGGCAGGTGGGGACGTCGGAGGGTAAACTAGAGAAAGAATGTTTGTCTTTTGAGACAAAGAACTCTGAGGAATTCTTTTGTCTTGTTTTTTTTTTCTTTAAAGGGTAAGAAACTCGTGCTGGAATTCAAATTGCAAAAGGATAAGCAAACTGACTGTGGATTTTAATTAAGGATGTGGGGCTGTAGTAGGTTAGATAGGATGTCACCACTCCAGTTCATGTCCATCTGGAACTTCACAGTGTGAGTACCAGGAGAGGATCTGTATGTGAATTAGATAAGGTGATGCTGGATTCGGATGTTCCATAAAACCAGTGATTGGTGTTCTGAGAGGAGAGCTTACACAGACATAGAAACAGCAGAAAGAAGGCAGAGATTGAAGGGATGCAACTGTAAGCTAAAAAATGCTGGAAGTTATCAGAGCCAAGAAAACATAAAGGGGGTTATCCAAAGACCCCCTGGAAAAGGCTTGGCCCTGACAACAATCTCATTTTACATTTAGAGCTTCCAAAACTTTAAAGGCAGGCTTCTGTTTTATGCCATCTGTTTGTTGTACTTTGTTATTAACAATCCCAGGAAATTAAGGCAAGGATCAAGATGTAAATATTTTAAATTCTACCATGCTAAATATGCTTGAAAGGGGATTAACAGGTGTGGTAGTTTGAAAGAAAATGGCCCCCAGAGAGAGTGGCTCTATTAGGAGTTGTGGCCTTGTTGGAGTAGGAAGTGTGTCAGTGTGGAGGCAGGCTTTGTGTCTCCTATATGCTCAAGGCATGCCCAGTGAGACAGACTTCGTTGCCTGTGAGTCAAGATGTAAGAACTCTCAGCTCCTTCTCCAGCACCATGTCTGGCTGCATGCTGCCTTGTCCCTCCATGACAATAATGGACTAGACCTCTGAAACTGTAAGCCAGCTACCACAATTAAATGTCTTCCTTTGTAAGAGTTGCCATGGTCGTGGTATCTCTTCACAGCAATAGAAACCCTAAGTAGGACAACAGGTAAAAATACTGGATTCAGCATTTTATTTCAAAGGTATTTTTTAAATAAAGCATAGATCTGTTTCTGTTATGTTAAACTTGGCAAATAACTACAAGGTGGGCTTGGTAATCCACTATGAGAGGGGCTCAAGTGAACCTCCATCTCTCTCTTAACCCCCATCCACCCAGAAGTGCCCACACTACAGGAAGTGGAAGTATGATAACTACATGGATATATGCCCTAGAAAGCATCCAAAGGCATAGCCAAGACCTGAACGATCTGGGGAATTCTGGCCAGGCAATAAGTAAATCAGAAGCAACTCCGTTCTTGGAGGGACTGCAAAGATCAGTGCCCTGTCAGACTTGAAATTTGCATCAGTGGTAATAGCAACCATATCCCTTTCCTGCTCCCCTATTTTCACCTAGAGAACACAAGTGGGTCCTGGACAATGACACTGAAATCTCAAACTCAATTATGTGGTAATCTCCGTTTATGTTTCTATCAATAATTTGCTAACTATGCATCTAGAAAACGCTTTTTTTCTCCTATGCATGTTGAAAGGAAAACCAGAAGGGTTTTTACTTTCGATCGGAAGGACTAGAAATAAGCTTTTGTGTTGTCACTTAGTCCACAGCAGCCACCGTGTGCACTTCCCCCTCCCACAGAATCCCATTCTTACCCACTAACATAGGTAATAGACAGGAAGTTGTGAAACAGGAAGAAAGTGAGGGATATTCTTGAGTTCAGCAGAGGCTCTTTAATCTCAAGCAATCATTGATTAGGGCTAAAATCCTGGAAAAACAACATCCACCAAGGCCACCCAAGGCCAATAGTTTCCAGAATGGATTCCACAGACAGCTTAAGGGTGAGGATTAGAAAGGATGTTTTTTAACAGAAGACAGCTCAAAAGAAAGGAAGCAAGCAGCACTCCTTGCTAGAAGGAGGGGAATCCCAAGAAAGCTTGCCACTGAGGTCTTTGTTAGTAAGACTTTACAGGGTTGAGGGGTAGGGAAGTCAGCTGATCAGGGCAACTGACCTACCCATGACTTGTTCATATGCATCTCCACTCTAGTGGGTGGACTGGACCAACAACATGCAGGTAGCTCAGCTCCTTAGGTTGCTATTCATCTTAGTTTTATTCCCTGTTGCTGTGATAAAATACCCTGCCAAAAGAAACGTAGGGGAGAAAGTTGATTTGGGCCCCAAATTCTGAGGTACATACATCCCATTATTGCAGGATGGTCAAGGCAGCAGGAACCAGCAACTAGTTCCATCCAGTTAAGAGGAGAGAGAGAATAGTGTGCATTTCCCTGTGCTCAGCTCACTTTCTCCCATTTTACATAATTAGTCCATGACCCAAAATTGGGGACAGTGTTGCCCACATTTAGGCTGTCTCTTTTCCCTCATCTAGACTAATGAAGACAATCTCCCCCATACATCCTATGGCCCACCTGACCTAAAATAGCCCCTCGCTGAGAATCTCCTCCAGGTGATTCTAGATTGTGTCAGCTTGACACGATGCACAACCACATTATATAAAAGGAGAAAAAAAAGGTAAGAAACCAGAACATGAGCCAAGATCCCTGTTTTGAACACTCCTGGCCTCCAGCCAGGACAGAACTACCGCTAGAACATTCCCAGCTTTGGGTTTCTGGTTGCCAGGAACAAG